CGCCTGGTTCCTGCCAAGCAGCCTGCCTCAGTCAGTCGTCTGTCGGTTTTCAAAATCTGCTTTTCCGATTGGCTCTCTAGTTTTTTTTGGAGCTCTGTGCGTCGTGCCGAGATCATTACAGAAGACACCCAGAGCCGCAGACAAACACACAGAGGGTTAGATGAAAAAAAAGGAGGAAAAAGAAGAAGACACAATCCTTGCAGCAAGCTTTGACTCAATGATCCGCCGAACGGCACCCTGTTCTATGAAAACTTGAAGAAGGCTGCTGCCGACAAAATAAAGTGTGGAATGAGGAGAAATCCGCGTCTATCAAGAGGAGAGTCTCCCTAAAAATCATCAGCAGATGCCGAATGACCGAAGCTCAAACCAGAGACAGCGCTTCGTAACCTGTGCCGATTGGAGAAACCGACGGACGGTTCGAGAGGGAGCTGCTCGCGGAATTGAGGATTTGTTCTATGATTCTTGTCCATGGATGGAGTTTTATTCGATTCGGGAGTTTCATTAATCGATATCTCGATCAGGTAGCTCACCGATCGCGCGGCGAGCCGGTGCTTCGAACGTGAACGCTGCCTGCGAACCACGGCCTTCGTATGTCGATTCGAACGTGCAAGGCAGAGGAGAACTGACGACGTACCGAAAGGAACCTCAGTCAGGAGTCGGGGGATGAATACGAGCCAATCGGAGCGGACGGGTGAGAGGAAAGCACCGTGGAGGAACGGGGGCAGAAAATGAGAAGAGGTGGCAAGAAAAAAGAGAGAATGGGGCTCCTAATCGACGCTCCCATAATTCACCTAAGATCACAGAAGGGTGTTCCCGTGGCCACGCCCTGGAACGGAGCGTGTCGGCGGCAAAGCCACATAGCTTCAATTAAGGAACTTCGCCAAAGTTCGAGCATTTTCACACCTTTTCATTTCAAGCATCCTCGATGCTCTGATTCTAGTAGCCAAGCCGCACTGCTCGTCCCTCCCACCGGGGAATTCCGAGATCATCCGGGAGAGGAGGCCGTTTATACGTATTCCTTGATCGGTCGGTCGGTCGACTCATGCTAATTCAAATTTCGTGAAACTGCGAACGTGCGATTTAAGTGATCGTTATTCACCGTTGTGGTCGTTGTCTTCTCTGTCGAATTTCGACTCGAAGCCGCTCCAATTCCTCTCAATTCTTTTCGACATCATGGAGATCCCACATGCCATTTGCGAGAGGAGCATTAGCTCGTAATGGCTTCGACTCGAAAGGTCAGTGCTACACGACGCTTCGACTACTGCCCGACCGACAAACCAAGCCATTGAAGCGGCGGCGTACTCGCTGACTGCCTCACTTAGTCTTTGGCTGCCATCTTCTCGGATGCATGCGTACCACGTAACGATACGGGTTCCTCAAAATCACTTTCCCCATTTGAAGCGGGCCAGTTTCACGATGTAGGTAGGTACGCGGGATGGGCTGCGGACGGGAAATTATTACAGTCCGTGGAGCTCTCTCGCGGCATAATTCCGCCCGTCTGACTATAAGTGCCTTCCCCGCCTCACGGGCAACCCTTTCAGCAATCTGCCTCGTTCGGCGAAGGAAGACGAGTTCTGAGTTCGCTCTCGTTGCTCTGCTCGAGACTCGAACTCGAGACTCCGATATGATTCCTCGATGGATCCGATCTGTCGAATAGAAAGCCGAGCGGGCAGTTTGCAGCGTCCCGAAAAGCTTTCGTCTCGAAACCAACTCCCGAGACTGATCAGGGTCCGAAGCGGGTAGGTATCGAATAAATTTCACGTGCTCTGTTTTATTCATTGATTTATTAACGGCGCACTCTCTCAGCTATTTCCTTTCTTGACAGAAGGTGAGCTACGACGAGGACATTGTGGCCGAGGACGAATTCGGCAGAAAGAAACCTCTCACGCCTGCCCGCCCGCTCGCTCGATCGCCCGCCATGGCGAATCAGAGCCAGTCGTCCTAGCTTTTTAAGCCTACAACGGAACCAGGCCAGTCCATCGCGATCGAGCCGGTTGCGATCATGTATTCGAAAATTTGTATAATATCCTCATTTATTTCGCACTCTGTAACCAATTTATAGCTGATCACAACACTATTTAGAGCCTAAGCAAACCCCATGCGCAGACTGGTACTTGTCTCAGATGAGAGTGCATCGGACCCGAGCTCAGCACTCGTAGCTTGAATTGCCGCCGATCGCGTCCCTTTGTCAGTATTTACGGATCGTTCGCAAAGCTCCGAAAGCGTCCAGGATCCATCCGGGCTTAGTCGATAACAGGAATCCGCATGAGGAAATTCCATGATCGAATATCGTTTTTGGAGTCGTATCCGAGCGGCGGAACGTCTCTCGTTGAAGGTTCTCGTTCTTTGTGCTTCGGAGCACGCTCTACGAAGTGGGCTCCACACCTGGGCTGCCAGTCAGAAAAGACCCCTGAGCGATCTCCAAGCAGAGTCCCATTCCGACACGACAGCATAACTAAAGAGCTCGCTAGGCCGCCTTCTCCACAGCCATAAACGAGAAGAGGAAAGACTCGATTTGTTTGACGATCATCAGACCATCGTCTTGAATCAAGCCACGCAGGGGACCAACAAGCGCAACGACATCAAAACATTGCCTCAAACCGATCACCATTCAGTCACATGACACTTGTACACGCATGCGCTACTGAGGAATGGAGGCGCGTGAAGAATTCCCTCACATAATCGCTATACTGACGCAGCGGCTGCGGAAGGGAGCATCAGCGAGTGTCCTCGATGAGGGAAAAATCGCATGAGATTAAGCATGGACGGAAACTCTACCAGGAAGTTCTGGATACCCGACTGATTGAGCGTCGGGATCACTTTCTGCAGATCCTTGGTGCTCAGATCATGGCCGAATCTTGCTGGTACCGGAGCCCGGGGTCGCACTTGTCGCGGGACTCGAATCTCGCGGGTTCGGTCGTACGAGCGAGCGAGCGAGCGAACGAACGAACCTCGAGGATTCGTCTCCAGTCCTAAAGAGTTTCGAGCTTGCCAAGAATTAAAAGACAAAAAAAACCCGGAGGGTAAAAGACCAACAGGGACGAGGGGTCGAAGGGAGGGCTGTGCAATGAGATTGACTTCGAACGAAGCCGGTCTCCTCCAGCGGCGCGCGGTAAAACTCCGACCGCTCACTCCCCCTCGTCAATGCTAGACACACCAGAAGATTAATTGCAGTTTTATTTTAAAATGTTCCAAGTCGCGAGCTGCTCGTTTGTATAAACAGTCTGTAGCTGCTCGGTCGCTTCTGTGTGAGCGAGCCCGTGTGTGTGTTTCCTCATGGTGAAAATTAAGGCTGTCAATGGACTATGGATGGAGTGAGACACTCTCTCAGGGGAAGTTTTTAAGTTATCACTTCACAGTCAACACACACTCGCACTCCCTCTCTCTCTATCTTCCGCTCCCCCTCCCCCTTACAGTGCCTAATAGACTCGGAACTCTGATTCCGTCAGCTAGCCGAGCCATCATCATCATCGTCGTCGTCGTCGTCGTTGATGGTCCCGTCTTGATGATTTATTCGCAGTTGATTTGTCTGATTTTGTTTTTTGGTGATTCAAGTTTCGAGAAATTCTAATTTGCTTCCCCCCTCACCATTGGGTGCATCGCTCTCAGCCATTGACGCAAATGGGGGAAGACGGAGCTCGAGCCAGTAATTCCTTCGTTGCGAAGTGCGAACTTCGAAGTCCGGGTAAAAGCGTGGAATGCGTGTCAAAATGAAGGCGGAATGAGGGAGCGAGTCTGTCATAGAGAACACTTTAAGATGTGACGTAAGATTCACCTGCGATATATAAGGCGACCCCCGATCTTGCCGATGTATACCGCACGCACCGTCGCACTTGCACGAAAATAACTCTCCAATATTTTTCGGAAGCGCGGCTGAGGCAGCGATAATAATCGATTGAAAAACTTTGCTCCGACGCACACTTTCCCCTTCGGCTTCCGTGGTGGCGAACTGACTAGCTGTTTGGTTGATATTTCCACTCCCCCACGACCTTCGTCCAATGTCGGACGTTCCGCTAGCCGCCGACGGTTCGGCGTACAGAAAACACGCAGCTGTTTCAGCCGCTGGTCGCTGGAACGGCTCAGGATCGAGTCCGGTCGCTGCTGTGGAATCGTATTCAGTCCGTTTGGTCGTTTTCGATTCGCGAGCCTCGCGAATGAGTGTCTTCTCCATCCTTGCTGGAATCAGCTTCAGTGAAATCAATGAGCTGCTCGGACTGTGTGTCGGATGCGGGCACAGCGCGCTTCATCACACGTTCAGCTGATCCGGCTGGAGCCACCGTATGTTGTGCGCAGTTGCCGTGAAGGTCTGACTGAAACGTCACTTTCATATTGAGGACCGCTTATCGCGCCACCTTTGGGTCGCCAACCTTCAAATATCCGCGGTTCCCAGGTCAGTCCTCACAGCGCGTCTCATTCACGAAGATCCGAAGGAGGCACAATCCTGAGTTTGTCTGGTAGATGACAGCTGGAGAATATCTAGAATGTTTCAGCGAAAGAAATTTCCGATTTTCGAGGCCGTGGTGAGCTCGAATGGTTCCCACAAAATATTTGGGCTCCGCATGGGGCAGGACAGGAGCCCGACTCCCTTTCTCAACACGAAATCCATATGTTGAGACAGTGTTGTCTGAGGTTTGCATCCGACCGCTCAGCTGAATGTGTAACCGTCACAGGGAGCAACCATTCGATGTCACTTTCGGCGGCAGATCGGCTCATAGCCGAACACTCCGGACTGACATAACCGATGGGAAAGGGATTATATCGTGATCCACGCGAGGGCAATGCGTGGAATGTGCCGCTGTATTACGAATCCGAGCTGAGGATGATGGATCTTCAGGAAGCTTTTTTTCCAGGACCTGAATATTCTCGAGGGGAGACCAGGACCAACGCCTCCGCAGTTTCTCACGTAAGAGGTGAGCGAGAACCTGAGTTCGGGCAGTACGACAGTCTGGAGCTTCCCTCCACGCCGGCAACTCGCTATCCTGGGCTATCCTGGAAGCACCGATTCGGAAGCCGGAGCGGATACGGAACAATGCTGTGATGGTTCGGCAGAATTTTTTCTGTTGAGGAAATTCTCGGTTGGCATGTGCGACTCCTGTTCTGCTGCAGCGAGCGATGCTGAGGCCATGACCTCGGCCTCAACTTAAGTGAAAAAAGTTCCCAATGGCAGGGGCGATTGTTGGCAACAACGTGCAAATCAAGCGGACCGAATATACTGAGACGAGGGTGAGTCTTTGGTGAGGGTACGGGGGCAAGAGGGAAGGCGCTGTAGTTCTCCTTATCCCGATGGTGACAGCGCACGCCGAGCGGATTACGTTGCTGTAAATCCCGTCTCTTTCCAATGATACCTTTTCAATTCGTTTTAGAAATAACTGAACAAGCGCGGTCAGTCCAAGTGCTGCTTCCGCCACTGATTGCAGAAGAGAATATTTGAGGTGTGTTTCCCTTAATATTAGGCGCCCGATTAATCGAGGACGCTCAGAGTCCTCGATCAGACCCGCGATTAATTCCCAATAACTTGACTATCGCTCCTCCATTCGCCGCTATGGCCATGTATAACACTTTTTACGGTAGGGAACTGACCGATAGAATCGCAGAGATTAGCGAAGGTAAAATGTTCGCCAAAGGGAGAAATCGGCTAGATCGGTGCTGTAAACAAGCTCTTAGAATTCAGTGGATCGAATCCCACTACGATCGTCCGCCTCGAACAATAGGCTTCGACGGAAAGCGATTCGAATACGGAACAGAAAACTCGAGTCTCTGTTTTCTCTTTTCAGGACTCTCCGGCGAGCATGCGACTCGTACAGCACTGCCGAAAACTCCTGTCAGCATTGAAGAAACAGAGGGAGCTCGAACCCTTGCTGTGTGACCTAACGCTACGATCGCTCGACGATCGACTGTTACGATGCCACAAAGCGGTTCTTAGCGCCAATTCCGAGTATTTCAATGCAATGCTCACGTCCAGTTTCGTGGAGGCGTGTCAGAGTGTCGTGAGAGTTCCTTTCACCGGTGATATTCTCGAGAACGTGATCGACTTTTTCTACGATGGCTATATTCATCTGAGCGTCGAAAACTGCTTGGAATATCTCGAGGCGGCGGACATGCTTCTCGCTCAGGATCTCATCGCGGAATGCCAAGAGTTCGTTGGTCAGAATCTCTCGCAAGTATTGAATTGCGAGGAGACCTTAGTGAGAGACTCAACCTCGTTGGCCCATCTCTTGCCTGTGCTTCAGCATCAATCGAAGCTCAACCTTAAACAAACATTTTCATCGCTGCATCGATGGGTCTCCGAGGATCGAGCGAACCGCGTCCGGTGCTTCATGGAACTCGAGATGGCCGTGGTCGAGCGACTCCAGAGCGACCTCGAAGTCAAACTCGTCGTCGCACAGGAATCGTTGTCCAACAACGAAGTGTTCGTGAACTTCCAGAACGCCGAGCAGGTATTTCCCCATCTGTTGAAGTTCGACGGGGAACGCTGGTCGAAATGCCTGTGGCCACGTGATGAGGATCTACCGTATAATTGCGAGCACTTCTGCATCGTCAAATACGGAACGAGTTTGCTCTACTGTAAGACCCAAGGGGATCCAGTCGTTTTCCGGGAGCTCGGGAAGCCGGACCGACCCGTGGAGGAAACGGCAGCCGCCTTGATAGCGTTCCTCAAGTCCGAGAGACATATTTTCCTACATAAGGTCACCCTCGCCGGAGAGCGTCTCAAGGTGTTCGACCGACACTCGAAAATGTTCCGATCGTTGGAGCTTCCGGCATGCTACAAACTCATCAAAGTCAACGATAAAAGGATCGCTGAAGACGTCGCCAACAACGAGATATTTCTCTCGGCTACCATGCGATTCCAGGACTCGATGCTCCAAGAGGGAGTATTCTGCTTCAAACTCAACGCGCAACAAGCTTGGATAGCGGAACACGTTTCGTTGCTTCCGTATAAATCCTGCGAACGCGACATACCGACAGTGTTCTGCGGTCATCCCGTGATTCTCTCGCCCGAAGACCGCAGGGCCTTCGTCCACGAACGTGGAGTCAACGGTCAGTGGAGGGAGAAGCTGTGTTTTCCCATGCTGGAGTTGGATAGTGCCAATTTCAAGATAATCTACGTATGCAGCTCAAAACGCAAGCTCTACCTCGTCGTCGATCGGGACCAAGACGTTCGCATTGTGTGTTACGATGAGCTGTGGGCTTCCGGCCACGACGTGACCGAAAAGACGGAATTTCCTTCGGCGCGCGTGGACTACGAACGCGGTGTGGTCTTCTGTCCGAGAGAGGGATGACTGTGAGAATTTGAGTCCCCAGGAGAACTTGACGGAGGGTTCCCTCTGCTAACGTCGATGTAGATTCGTAATTCTCTGCCGTCATTGACACGATGACCCACCCAACATATGGACGCCAATAAGAACCGGGTGATGCTTGGAGACGGAAAGCGCTGACACCTATGCGGGTAGAGCTTCCACTGAAATCCCCGGGAATGTTAATTTTTCCACTTGTTGACAGCCGTTGTTGTTGTATTGTATGTACATGATGAAAGTATTAGGTTTTGGTCCTCAATGCTCCGGATATTTCCAATAAAGCCGTAGAGGATGTCGATAATGAGCGATTGAGCACCTTCCAACGAAGCTTATCTTTCCCACCACATCTAAAGTCAGCCACAAGAGAAGTTGAAAGCTCGGGCTCTGCGACGGGTGGCTCGTAATGGCCCTCATAATGGAAGCGGTTTCTGTGTATTCAACCAAAGTTTCGTGAGTTTCAATCCGAGCGCCTTCGGCACCCGCAGCATTTACTTAAAGTTACGTCGGGCTAATCTTCGAGAAGAGCTACGACGAGCAGGCATCAAGCAATGAATACTCGCTGAATTTCACTGACTGAGTAAGTGCTGACGACGAGGTCGACCGAAAGCAGACGGTCGAGGTTTTGATGAAATAGATTAGTCGAGACATAATTGTGTAATTGAAGCCGCGTCAGCCGGAGCTATGTGCACGACGCACGGACGTAGGCTCGCTCAGCTCTGCTATTTGCTGCTCCTGGTGCGTTTTGACTGTCGAGAAGTGGCGGCGCTTCACAGCCGCTGAGAGAAGACTTCATGAACAACTTCGCGGTCTGCTATCTCTTTCTCCCGAGTCTCCGAGTCCCTTTCCGTCTCGGTTCCGGGGACCGCCCGGAACTCGACCGGTAAGTTACGCTCCTACCGGCCCGCTCTCATTCCAAATCAGTCGAGGAAAAAGATGATTTTCTGAGTTCGTGGTTGTGACCAAAGGGTTAGAGGATGATCTGGGGAGGCTGTCACTTTTTTGCGTCGTCGTCTGTCGTGTTTCCTTCCGAGCGACCATAGGGCTCAATGCAGGGCGTTCGTGAATGGATCTAGGCAAACGTGACGCGGCCGGGACGCTTCCCGCGGTGGATTTCGCGTGTGGTCCTAGGCATGAGCTAGCTGTCGTCGAGTCCACGCTCGTTGGTGGCAGTGCCGGTATCTGCATTTTCTGCGCCGCTTTCTCTCTCCGACAGACTTTTGCTCTTCTTCTCTCGCTTCTTATTCGTGGACGTTTTGCTAGCTGTAGAGCAGCAGCAGCAGCAACGACAATAATCACCGAGACCGCTCCATCGTTTACAATTAAGGGGCTCCTAGTTGCTGACTGGCTTGCTCGTTGGCTCACTCACTCACTCAGTCAGTCAGGCAGGCACTCGTCAGCCGTCTCTCAACAATCCGTAACAGCGTTAACCTCGTACACACAAACAACATTTGTCCCATACGTCGACGTCCACGGAGAATGGCAGGAGTCCGGGCTCCAAGTCTCCGTCCTGGCTAGTTTCGGATACCGCTCAGCTTTTGACGGCATGCATGCTCGCCGGTCACTCGGAGTAACCAGATTCCCAACTCCGACGTTCTGGAATCCGAAGCAGAGGAGGGACGTGACAGATTTCACGATCTGGACGATCGACGCTCGAAAAGGGGATCCGAGGAAGAAAATCAAAAGAGAAATCACGGAAAAAGTGGTAACCACCCAGTGATATCGGTGCCGCTTAGCGTGCCCATTCCGATCAAACGTGTGTGTCACGATAGCCGACCATCAGGAGTAGCGCAGCGGGCGAACAGAACAATCAGTGCTATCGTAACGTAACAGTCAATCGGTTCATCCATTCCTCAGAGTATCTGTTTGTCCGTTCGTTTGTGTCTGACCGACGCGGACCACACGACATTCACCTAAGCCGTTTACCGATCGGTCTCCCAAATGTCCTCCACCCTATCGAGAGGGCAATGGATCGCTCTGGGTTACATTTCAGTACCGAATTCGATGCCGATCTAGAAACATGCTCGATTCTTCCCCCTTGTCTTTGTAGCATCAGCAAAGTCGCGTCTGACTTCTCTCACTCCAACTGAGTGAGTTAATCTTGACGATACCGATGAATCAAAGGAATCGCTCGAGTCTACACCCATCGTCGAGCGGACTATCGGTCGGCGAACGTCGCGTCGGCCGTCAGGGCCCGATATGTACCACAATCGTCGAGCGCCTTGAACGCTTATCACTTTCGACAGAGCGATGTCACAGCGGAGCACCCGTTATTGCTCACGACAAGGCCAGGAGTCCTTGCTCGCTGCTCTTCGTGGTTTTCCGCATCAGCGAGCATCGATCGAAATTGGAAAGGGGGGGGGGGTGAGTTTCGCGCCTCTCCCCCATTATCGACACGAATTCTGTCAATTTCGCCCTCGATGGCTTCGTTCGATGGCACCCACCGGGCTGATCCCCCCGAAAATATAAGACTGCGGTGAAGAGAGAGGAGCAGACGATACGACCTGTCTTTCGAAACAATTACTGTCTCAGGTGGTTTCTATGCCGATCGTGCTTCGTTTCACTTAAATGTTGGCCATCGGCCACGTACGCGGGAAAGCAGAAGAAAAGGTAGTTTTGTTTGCCGTATGCCTGCAGACGTCGGCGGCAATTCATGGCTGTCATGATGATGATGATGATAAAAACGTTCACTGCGCGAATGCTTGGCAAGCTGGCGCTCCCAGCTCTGGTGCTCGACGATTAGGCTCGTTTTCATCGAGGACTGTTTGGATGCAGCATCGAATATTTTTGCTGCTGTCGTCGCCGGTATGAGAGATTCCGCTCCTCGAGCCTGAAGCGAAAAATCTCAACAATCAAAGCGGCTGCTGTTGCCGCAGATACCTGCCGAGTTGCCTCGTTGCTTTCCGTTTGCCGCCGCGACGACCAGCTCTTAAAGTTGATTTCGTAGATGGGGCGACAACGTCGACGACGCCAGCGACAACAATCATCAACTTACAGCTACGAAATAGAAAGAGAACGAGGCGAAAATTGTTACGAAGACACATGAATTACGTACGGCCAGTCAGTCGGTCGCTCGAATGAGCGACGTCGAGCCGCAGGAACTCACAGCGACTCAATGCTATGTATGACGTCGACGATTAGAAACGTTTCAGAGCGCGCTTCGTCTTCGTCGCATCCGAGGCACACAGCGCAGAAATCTCTGAAGCTCTTCCGTCCGGCCTTGGAGGAATTAATTCGCCGTCCATTCACATGTCTGATCGGAGTTCGAGATGGAACACCCAGGACATCATGGAAGGTCGGGGAAAGAGCTGCAGGTTGAAGATATCCCGTACCCACGGAGTTTTCACCGAGCGATTTCAGCGAGCGATGGAGGATCGGGATCGCCGAGAAGCCTCCCGGCCGCTCTGAAACCCCGAGTCCTCGAGGGCAGAATGATGCAACGAATCATAGACAGCGACGGACCATGGTAGTTCGACGTGTCCGACACACTGGCACGGAACAACCCTTTGAACGGGGGATGGGGTCTGAAAATAATTTACGACATCGAGCGTCCGTCTGTTGTGCTCCGATTTGAGGCGCACTAGCAAACTAGCGACTCATGATGGACAAATTGAGTGAAGGGCTGGTGGAAGAGTTATGTGGAACTCATTTGCGGTCCCGACTCGTAGTCAGTCGCCCCGACCGAAAAAGCTACCGACAGAGCTCGCTCGCCAGGCTGGTCGCCTGGTCGGTCGGGCGGTCGGTCGACCGGCCTATCGAGTCACCGAGTGACGGCCTGCGCCCGCTCGATGGCCTATGATCTAAGCAAGAAGAGTGACGCGATGGAAAGCGCCATTTTCTGTAGTAGTAACCACCAGCAGAAGAATCAGCAGCTCGAGTGAGCGAAGATGAAAAAGAAAAATAAGCCCATCGGGTACTCGTCCGCCCGGAGCGTTCCGCGACAGGGTCGCGGTGCTCGCCGACTCCACCGATCGCTCGGGCACTCACAGTTCAGAGAAACAATTGCTCACTATTTGATCAAAGACTGTTTTCGCTGCAGCCTCCAACAGACGGAAGAGCACTTTGAGGAGGAACGTTTCAGCAGCAAACTGAAACCTCGAAGAGTCGTCATCGTCGCCGACGTACCGGGAACGTATTAGGTAAGACGAGCTACATTTGTAATAGTCGCAGTTCGCAGGAAGTCATTGACACAATTGGAGAAGTCGTTTTCTCTCTTGTGCTCGCCGACAAAAGGGAAACTTTGACGACACCCGAATGCACGCACTCACGCGAGAGACGGACAGGATTAGTTTCCCGACGCACAAACCGACGATGATGATTGTGTACAATGGGTTTGTCGGTGTCCTCTTCCGCGCCTGCCGGGGAGGATGGCGCTGCTAGAAGCCTCGGCCGTTGCTCAATGGATGCCTTCCGAGTAATCACTTTTCGCTTTCTGAGATTCTCTTCTGTTTCCATATAGTGGTTTCGGACCCGATACGATAGGAGCCTTGATGGTTTCGACCAACGGTATCGGAGCCTCTCAATCGCTCTCATCCACGGGAAACTCTGCGGTCCACTCAAAGACTCGACCGATGGAGCTCACGCTCTCTCTCTCTGACCGGACAGGCCGCGGGATGAGACATGAGACGCTGAATTCTGTTCCCGGATCGAGTCGAGAGCGTTCCGGAATAGATGGAGAGTAGTCAGGAGGAACTCGCTCCTCCCCTTCTGATGAGAGACTGGCTCGAGGTAGGTGTCACGATGAGCGGAACTTCCGCACGGGATGGAAAACAGGTGAGCGACATGCGCGCATTTCGAGCGGTGGTGTGTCTCGCAGCGATGAAACTTCGGTTTGCTCCGTTGGCCATTGTCACCTTACGCTTTTGGGCTGAAAGGCGTCCACAGAAGCACAGCTTGATTACGGGTTGCTGCCTAAGAAGGCGTATCCGTCCGTGCGACCGACCGACATCCTGATTTTGCTCGAGGAGACATCCAAATCGAGTTTCACTCAAAACTACGCGAATCCACCGAAGAACAACCCACAATTAAGACGCTCTGCCGTGACAGGAACACGACAAGTATACTCGTAGGTGAAAATTCCATCGAAACCACCAAGTCGGATAGAAAACTTGAGCGATGGTGGAAGAATACGAGCTACCCCTCCCCCTCCCACATA